ATGGTAGAGGTAGGGGGATGGCGGTTGCAATACAGGTAATGCCAGGGCTACATACTTATGAACATGCAGACTGCCATAAACTCCATATGAATATTTCTGCCCAAAAGCTGTGAATATCTCCAGGGAACTACACAGCATGCTTGGTGACATGTCACAGTGGCCACCTAGTTCCCTAGAGATATTCATGGCTTTTTTAGAGATAGAGATTTTTTAGAGATATTTACAGCTTTTCATTCTGCAGCTGTGTGTTCATTCAGTCTGTGTGTTTTGGGGAACATGTAGGGCCTTCAAGGATGAATCAGAATAATGGTGAACAGTTTCTGAGAAGGGCAAAAGCAGATGACTTCCCTTTACTCCTCTGTTGTCATTGTTTTAAAGCCTGAAATCCTGTTTTTGTTCATAACTTCCTAATCAATGAGTTAACATTAAGTGTAAAATTAACTAATGATGGTGAAAATGGACCTGGTGCTGGAGATCCATCTTAATTGTACTGGAATCACATTCTTGAAATAGGCAGCAAGGGTTGGTTGTATAGCCATTTTCTTTTTCTCATCATAAATGGCCTTGTAGCAGCTGATGGCCTGGTTACCAAGGCAAATACTAAACATAGAAACAGGGCAAGTCAAAAGGGTCCTCCAGGCCATCTAGTCTGACCCCTGGTTCTAGCCAGCTCCACTCACAACATGCCTAAAGGGGAACTAAATCAGTATTAGCATGCCCATACTAAAGATGGGGAAATGATGCTGAATTGACAGCATCATTGAATTGTCTGAGTAGAATCTGGCAGGCTTGATCCCTTCCAAAGTGGCCAACAAACCTGCAAATATTACCCAATTCTATCAAAAGAAAGAAAGAGACCTGATTATTTTCTTTGTTTTAGGTTTGGTTTTGTATGGAAATGTGGCATTTTATTATTCTTATGGTTTACTATAAATTAGCAGAGCAACTCAGAAATATATTCAGAAAATGAACGAACGAGAAGAACAAAGTACTTTAAAGTGCTCAAAAGGCTTCATATCCATGATCTAGTTATAATCTATGCAAGAATGATAGTGAACTAGCTTAACTCTGTAAGACACTGATTTGAAATAATGATCTGAACTGTTTTAAGAACTATTTCTTTTATTTGTTTTTTTACAATACAGTATACTTATGCACATACATATTCTCTCTCTTCGGCACCTGTAGTTACTTTATTATTACAATGCTGCATTGTGCTCAAGATGTTTTAGTGAATGTCGAAGTGTTTTTCAAGTATTTTATATGCATAGAAAAGTAAAACATATACATATACTAAGACAAACATTTGGCTTACTCACGTGCTTTGACTTACATACAAATTCGACTTCAGGATGCTTTCAAGAACAAAACACCATAACCCAGATACTACCCATGCTTCAGCTCTTTTTGGCAGGTAGCACAACAGCTTCTTTTGCCTGCTGCCTCTGCTCTGTTCCTACACATTTCCAGGAGAATAGCAGTGCCACGCTGGGGGCCAATTGTGTCGAGAAAATCATTTTTCTAAATTGCAATCTTGATAAATTTGAATAAAAGCACAGCTGTGTTTAAATAAATCATGGCTGAATAAAGGACTTCAGTGCATCCCTGAGAGAAGTGCAGATGGGAATGGGGGGGGGGGTCTAGCTCTCCTACTCGTATGCCCCCTCCCCCCCCACACACACATCCCACCATCACCTCCTATTTTTTGTTAAAGTTGGCTCTTGAGACTCAAGAAGAGACTTGTTTCGAATATTTCTTGCAATAACTTGAGACTTGACTCAAGGCTTGGAGTAAAGGACATGAACACATCACTGCCATTTATAGTTGCCAGATGCAGGAATTAAGAATGAAAGCATCAGCTCTCAACCCACAGAGGTCCATTAGTTTCCAGCAGTGCCTGAAAGCATTTTCTTGCAATGCTGTTGCTGGACTGTTGCTTAAACTTCCCCTTACTGTGCATGTATTTATTACTGGATTTATTTACCGCCTCGCAGCCAATGGAGCTCTCTGGGCGGTTTACAATTTTTAAAAAATTACTCAGGAGTAATTGCTACTGTGCTCAATACGGCTTACTCTAAATCAGGGGTCTCAAACTCGTGGCCCGCGGACCAATTGCGGCCCATGGGATGATATTTTGTGGCCCCCACTTGATATCAAAGTTTAGTGATAGTGCGGCCCGTGTGTCTCTCACACGCACCTGCGTGAGTCGTTACCCTGGGCGCAATGTTCCCTCTAAGCTGCGTGTCAGGACGCCAAGGCTGACCACCGCAGTGGTAGTGGGCCCCTCATCCCGTGTGGCTCCTGGAGGCTGGCCGGGCGCCGCCGGCGCTTTGAAGGCCGCAGGGCCCCGGGCCTGTCCCGGCGCGCAACTTAGAGGGGACATTGCCTGGGCGTTTTATATTTTTTGTCACCTGTGGGCTATCATAGCTCAGGATCGTGACAGCAACGCAAATTAACAACGTTAGCCACTTGAAACGTGATTCGGGAGTGTCACCGAGTGAAGGGAAAATATATCCTGTCACCCAGTGCAAATACGTTTTTTTTTGTCACCCAGCCCCAGTCATGTCTTTCTCAAAACCTGCCGTGAAGAGAAAGGTTGGCAATGAGCACAGACAATTTCAGGAGAAGTGGGAGATGGAATATTTTTTTGTTGAGCACAGGGGCATCCTGATGTGTCTTATATGCACAGAGAAAGTTGTGGTGCACAAGTATACCATCAGACATCATTACTCAACTAGACATGCTGAGGAGTATGCAAAATACCAGGGAGATGAGAGAGAGGACCGTGTCGCCAAACTTAAAACATGTCTACTGAGGCAACAAGATTTTTTCAAGAAAGCAAGCAAAGAGAGTGATGCGGCAGTCAAAGCCAGCTACGTAGTGAGTGAGATGATTGCTAAGACAGGAAAGCCATTTAAAGACGGCGAGTTCATCAAAAAGTGCATGTTACAGGCTGCAAGTATAGTCTGTCCGGAAGAAAAGGGTCAGTTTAGCAACATCAGCCTCTCAGCCAACACAGTGGCAGAGCGCATTTCTGACTTGTCAGGTAACATTTATGATCAACTGCGTGAGAAAGCTAAACATTTTCATGCATACTCAGTCGCTGTTGATGAGAGCACAGACGTCACTGACACTGCGCAGCTCGCAATGTATGTCCGTGGTGTTGATGACAACTTTGAAGTGATGGAGGAGTTACAGTGATTCCAATGCATGGCCAGACCACCGCTCAGGAGATATTCCGCCAGCTGTATGATGCCATTGCAGATGCCAGCTTACTATGGAAGAGTTTTGCTGGAATAATAACCGACGGAGCACCATCAATGACTGGAAGAAGAAATGGAGTCGTGGCACTTGTTCAAAGAAAATTGGAAGAAGAGGCTGTGGAAGAGGCCATTGCTCTGCACTGCATTATCCATCAGCAGGCCCTTTGCAGCAAATGCCTGAAGTTTGACAATGTGATGTCTAACGTTGTGAAATGCATCAACCATATCAGATCCAGGGGCTTAAAGCACCCTGGATGCGCCTTTTTAGGGAAATAGAGTCAGCATATGAGGATGTGCTCTACTACACCGAGGTACGTTGGCTTAGGAGGGGAAACGTCTTGAAGAGGTTTTTTGAGTTGAGAGCAGAGGTGAAAACCTTCATGGAGAAAGATGGTATGGCTGTTCCTGTACTAAGTGATCCCAAATGGCTCATGGACTTAGCTTTTCTTGTTGACATCACACAGGAGCTGAATGTACTGAACAAGAAATTACAAGGCCAGGGGCAGCTTGTCAGTGCTGCCTATGACAATGTCAGAGCATTCTCCACAAAACCTGTGTTATGGAAAGCCCAGCTTTCTCAGACAAACCTCTGCCATTTCCCAGCATGCAAGGCACTCATGGATTCTCGCACACCATTCAGCAGTGAGAAGTATGCTGATGCCATTGTAAAGCTACAGGAAGAATTTGATCACAGGTTTGCAGATTGCAAGACACACAGAGCCACTTTTCAAATTTTTGCTGACCCCTTCTCCTTCGATGTGGAACATCCCCCCTCTGTGCTTCAAATGGAGCTAACTGACCTGCAGTGCAATTCTGAACTCAAAGCCAAGTTCAGGGAGATGAGTGGAAAAGCAGACAAGCTTGGACAATTTTTGAGAGAATTGCCCCTTACCTTCCCTGAGCTTTCCAGGATGTTCAAGCGGACCATGTGCCTTTTTGGGAGCACCTATCTGTGTGAAAAGCTCTTCTCCACCATGAACTTTAATAAGTCAAAGTTCAGGTCCAAACTTACTGATGAGCATCTTCAAGCCATACTGAGAGTCTCAGTTGCTTCCTCCCTCAAGCCAAATGTGGCTCAGCTGTGCAAGAGGAAGCACTGTCAGGTCTCTGGCAGCAAGGAGTAGGAGGAAGTAAGAGAAGCCTATGTTCTGAAGAACCGTTCATGTTCTGAATTATTATTAGTAAAGATTGAGAAGATTGGATCAGTTGTACTTTTTTTTTGGAATACTTGAAATCCGTTTTTTGTGGAATACTTGATGCGGCCCAACCTCACCCAGACTCTACTTCCAGCGGCCCCCAGGTAAGTTGAGTTTGAGACCCCTGCTCTAAATTAAATATCAGCAGGATTGCATCTTTAAGAGTCTCCTTTGCACTGCGGATTGTTTTAAAACCAAAAGTAAATGACTTCTTTCAAAATTTATATTAAAAAGAGGCCAAAAAAACTTTCAGAGAATTAAGCCATGGAGGAGTGTGCAGGTGGGGGGGGGCCTTCATTGTGCGGTAAAATTGGAACGCAAATATGCGCTTGAAGATTTCGCTGCAAGAGCTCTGTTAACGTCTACGCGGCTCCTAAAAGCAAGAGGCTCTCAACTGACCTTCTCAAGATGGCAGCGCTCAGAGGTAAGGTCAGATACCGCCTCGACCTTTATAAAATGGCAGGTGGACGCGAAGCTGTTTGCCTCTACCAAGATGGCGGTAGTTCTTCCTAGTTTGAAGGCTACCACTTCCGGCTGGTGTTTCTCCTGCCTGTCAGCTATGGCCGCAGCGGGGCTCTCAGATACAGAACTGCGGGCGGAGCTGCTGGCCCTGGGCTACCAGCCGGGCCCTATTACTGATTCCACTCGCAAGCTCTACGCGAAGAAGCTCACCCGTCTGCGGGCTGAGGTGGCCGCTGGACAGAGGAGCCGCGGCAGCAGCACCCGGGCGCACCCTCAGGTCCCGAGCGGCTTGACGAGGCCCAAGGGGTCGGCCGGTGTCAGCCCCAAAGCGACTCCTCGGGCCCCCGTCTTGATTAGGAGGGAGAGTGAGGAGGAGGAGGAGGAGGAGGGTGAGGAGGAGCAGGAGGGGAGTGACTACGAGCTGCCTCGCAGGGAGGTAGCGGCAGGGAGTAGAGGGCTGTCTCACAGAAATCACTGGAGGACGGACACTGGATTCACCCCCGGGAGGATCCATTTATCAGCTGGGGAGAGAACTGTATCAAGCAGCCCCTGGGAGAGAGGTGGTGGATTAAGCTCAAGGAGAACCCACTTGGAGACAGGAGTGGGCTGTACACCCTCATATCAAAGTGACTCTGCTGCAGATCTATTAACAACCAGCACCTCGTGGTGGGCAAAACCCACAGGAAGAGAAGTGGGGTTAGGCACTGGCAAATGGTGGGAGGAGGAGCGGAGCTTGAGCCCTAGTACTTCGTGGGAAGCAAGATCAGGAAAAAGCAGCTCGGGATTCAGTAACAGAGCCTCTTTAGAGACAAAAAGTGGGGTAACCCCGAGTTCCTACTTGGATTCAATAGCACAAGGGACTAGAGGAGAGTTAACCTACAGATCCCCATGGAGAGCAGAGAAAGAGGCTGGATTAGCTTCCAGAAGTTCCCACATACTGAGGGGGGCTGGAACAGGCAGAGAACTGAGTCAAAGAACTCGTTGGGATGGGACCCGCCAACATATAGGTTTGAAATCACAAGCTCAGGGCACAGGAAGAAAAGGCAGGGGCTTAGAATTTTATCTCTCCTGGTTCCTGTGGTTGGCAACTTTAGGACTGTTGGTAATTTTCCTGGGCATCCTTAGTATGAAGATGATGAGAACTGCCCAGCTGGAAGGAGCCCAGGAGAGCTGTACGTGTAGTATTTAACTGGCTTGCAGAGATGTTCTTGTTTCATTCCCCTCTTCAACCCCTTCAAAATTCCATTACTTCTTCATTTGATGGTCTCATCATAGTCCTTTTCCTTTTCAAGTTCTTGCTTATGAAAATACAGCTTATAGATAGCTTTACAAGTGAAGTTGGTTTCAGATCCTTCAAAGGCTAATAATTGTTGCCTAAAAGTATTTGTCTGGGAATAACTATCTTTTCAGCCATTATAGAATGGTTCTTCCCTTTAATTACCTGTCACATTGTCCTAAGTATGTATTTTATTAAAGGCGAAGTCATATAATGCTCATATTGACTGCCCCATAATTAGAAATCTTAAAATGTGCATTTCTTAATCATCAAAAGGTGTAAGCAGACATATGGGCGTCTTTCAGAAAAGGAACAAAAGAGTTATCTTGCCCACAATTACTCTGAAAATGTATCTGTATCCAAAAAAGACAGGAAGTAAAAGCTGGGATATGGAGGTCACTGGTTCATTAATGTGTGGTTCATTGTCTTATACTACAACCTCAGTGTCATGTTAGCTACTCCAACTAAGAATCCATGGTCAGTTGACACATTCTGCTCAGCTTGTTTTTGCAAAGCGTTTAAGGAAAAATTGAATGTGTTGAATACATGTGATTGCAAGGAGTGCTCCTACTTTAAAAACTGACAAATGATTAATTCAATAAATATTTATTTGTAGCAAATGATACATAGGTTCAATGACACAAAGTGTAAAAGCTATCTTAGTATAAAGTTGTGTGGATTCTCTTTTTCATACTAGAAATCAATAAGTAGGCAGCTTGCACTCTTTCATCAGTGCAACATTTTAAGAACTTTCCTATAGCATGACATCAGTCAAGATTTGTACATCTTCAAGAACATTTTCTAGCAATAATTACATTTGAACTCAAGCCCTAGATCCTCTGCAAAGTAAACAGATGTATTTATTTCAACAGGAATGCAGAATATATGTTTGTTTCTCATGCTTAATTATCATACCGTATATATCGTTTCCTTATTCTGAAACAATATTTACAAATTAGATGCAGCTTAAATTCTGTATATGCTCTCTTCAGAAGCAAGTCCCATTGAACAAAATGGGACACTTCTGAGAAACTTCATTAGATTTGTGCTGCAAATTTAGTGGACTTGTATGCTTAAATAAATTCCAGAGAAGTAGTTATAATAGTCTTAGAACAAAACAGAATAGGTTCTAATCCATGAAAGCTTATGCCACAAAATACCTGGTAATCTTTAAGATGACACAAGATGCTCTATTTTAAAATATATAAGTGTTTATCTTTCAGGGCTTGTCAGGCATATATGATAATAGGTAACTAATCCTTATTTCCTTTCATTCACAGTTAAGCTTTTGCCCATGGATTGTGATAAAAGTACAGATAGAGTAAGTATGAATATACATAGGGTTCACTCAGAACCAGTGAACCTCTTTTTCCAAGAGAAATTTAATGATTTATTGATGCTGAATTAATGAACTGCTTTTTATCAGCTTAGTATAAAGTATCATTCTTACCATCTAAATCTAAGCTACTGCAAACTGAATACTTGCTCTTACAGAAATATTATTTAGTTGTAACAAAAATGAGATTGATTTGTGACAAGGATTTTATCTGCAAAGCTACTTTTCGATTACAAGTTTAAATAGTTCTAACAGCATTTACTCTCTCCTGTGTGTAGCCGTGAATTGTTCCATAACAAATAGCTGAATATGACAAGCCTTGGTATAGCACGGATAGTTTAAAGGATAGCTCCATGAATCTGGAATGTTTGCTGTGCCTAGATTTTCAGTTATTGCTCATTCATCGCACACAGAATATAAGAATTCGAGGTTCAAGGATTGAACAATATTTGCCCTTTCAACCCCAGGTGTAATTATGACACTGGGTATTGTGAAGGAGACTGATACATATTGAATCTATTCCCTATAGCCATGCAAGATGGAGCAGCTTAACAGTGATACTTTTTTTTAAAAAAGGAAGGAAGATAAACCTCCTAGTGGGAGGAGGGATGTCATAAGAATTTATTCTTAATTTCATTAGCTAAAGTAGAGCAGACGAGAATGTTCTGTTTAATATTTCCCTTTACTTTCTTGTAGCTTGTTGAATTAAAGATCTAGTGACTAATTTTCTTTATCTTTTCAGTACTGTCGGAAGAAACAAGAAGAAATTATAATGACTGTGCTGTATGAGTTATACAATTTTCTTGCAATTCAAGCTGGTAAGTTTTGATTTTTCTGTATATTTTGCATACATTCTGAATTTCAATAAATGTGGACATCACTACCAACTAGGTACATCTGAGTTTAAAGTCAATTTAAGAGATAGGAGGAAACTTGTTCGTTTTTTTCCTCCAGACTACTTAAGGAACTGTAGGAAAAATAGCTTCCTCTCCTCTGAATTTGATTTTTATTAACAGAATGACTTAGCAGAAAAAAATTACTATGGATTGGGATTTATTTATTTATTACTTATTTATTTATTATTAAAAGCTTTTGTGTGTCGTCCTATTATACAAGATCTCAGGACGGCTTTAGGGTTACATTTCTGAAGTGTCCTCCTGCCTCAGCCCTCCCAACCCTCTATATACAAAATGTTGAACCAGTTCACAAGTTTTGTTCAGAGCTTCCTTCTTCCATAAATATCAGTGTCTGACATCTCAAAGAATGTTAGTAGTACAGTTTTTTCTGTGGAAGAATCAGTGTTGAAAGGAGCCATTTAGGCTATTGAGTCCCAACTCAGTGCAGGAATCTAGTCTAAAATATTTTTATGCATTTATTTTAAAATATTCTATACTGTTTCACTTCCTGGGGAATAACCCTAGGGAGTATCCATGAAAGATGGCTGTCCAGTGTCTGCTTGAACACCTCTAGTGACAGAGAGCCCACCACCTCCTTAAGCAGGTGGTTCCATAGTTCCCAGCTGCTAGTAAGTTTATGCTCTGTCTTTAATCCTGTCTGCAGCTTTGCTTGGAATGGCTTTCCAGATCACAGTATTCTATTTCCCTTTGCTAGCTTGGTTTTTCTATCAAGTATTGCATTTCTCAAATTGTGTTTATCCCAGTCTGCTTTGTAGAATCAAAATGTGCCTCATTGTGGTAAGGATTAACTTAGAAACCCTATGAAGATGTCTGCTAGGTAACATTGCTTTTTTACCAATGCTGTCCTAAATGCATTAGGAGGCAATCCTGTGCACGCTTACTGAAGAGTAAGACCCCTGAACACAGTAAAACTTCTGAGTATCTCACTCCAGCTAGTTGGTATCTTGGAAGATTAAATGTTTTGCAGCTGTCAGTACAGCAGACACTTTAGTAGCTGGTTAAAGCTGCATCTCTAATTCTGATGTTTGGGAGAAAAGATGATTGAGGGGGTTATTCGAATGATTCATATAATAGGCTTGTCTTCTAGTGTTAGTGATTCTTCAACTTTGCTGAAACTGGTTTGCTATACCATCGCATTTATTTAACTTGTGGCCACCCTTTGCATAAAGATGCTTTAAAAGTTTTCTAAACTTAAAAAAAGTCTGCTGCTTTTGTCAATGGCTGGTTTTGTCCTTTGACACCAGCAAAGCTGTATACTTGCTTGGTATGGGAATCTGAGTGTTCGGTTAAAATGGACTTGATTTTTCCACCTCAGCTGCTTGTACCACCAAAGAATTAGGATGCTTTTTAATTTAAATTTTAAACATGGAGTTGCTATTTCCACATCTGGTAGAAAGATCAAGCCATGGTGATAGTTTTAAGACCCAATGCATGAGGTAGAAACCTTGTAGATACATAATTTACAGCATTTGTAATGCTCTTCAGTCTGAAATTTGCCCAGCATGGCTTACAATTCCATAAATACAAGAGAGTCCCTGTCCTGATGTTTGCAACCTAAAATGACACAAAGGAAAAGGAAAGCAAGAAAAAAAGGAAGCTCAGTCTCTCTGGCATTAGTCCATTTTTAAGATCTATTGCCTCTCATAGGGAAAGAAGACTTAACAGTTGATTTGCTTTTATTTGTATTCTGCCTTTCTTCCTGCACGGGTCCCAAGGCAGCTTAAACAGTCCTCCCCCCCCCCTTTTAGTCTCACAACAACCCTGGGAGGTAGGTTAGGCTAAGAGTGTGTGACTGGACCAAAGTCATACAATAAGCTTCAAGGCCATGTGGGAACAAGCATCCAGTTCTCCTGAGTCTCAGTCTAACACTCCAACCAATTCATTACAGTGAGTGGCTTTCCAATAGGCAGGAAAGACAGCAATCACTGCACTAGTATATGCTTATTGCATGAATATGAGATAGGATTGCCTTATTCTACCTTATTTATAGCAGCTATATATTAATTAAGTCATAAAAGTAATATGGGTATGTGTTATATACCTGGATCTTTTGCACAAGCATTTTGACCAATGCTAAATGTGCTTTTGCGAACAGAGGTTCACAACATTGTACAGGAGGTGGCAACTAAAACCATCCCAAAGAAAAAGAAATGCAAGAAAGCAAAATGGCTATCTGAGGAAGCTTTACAAATAGCTGAGGAAAGAAGGGAAGCGAAAGGCAAGGGAGAAAGAGAAAGATACACCCAATTGAATGCAGAATTCCAGAGAATAGCTAGAAGAGCTAAGAATGCCTTCTTAAATGAACAGTGCAAAGAAATAGAAGAAAACAATCGAATAGGGACCAGAAATCTCTTCAAGAAAATTGGAGATATGAAGGGAATGTTTCATGCAAAGATGGGCATGATAAAGGACCAAAATGGCAGGGACCTAACAGAGGCAGAAGAGATTAAGAAGAGGTGGCAGGATTACACAGAGGAACTATACAAGAAAGATCTTAATGTCCCTGATAACCACGATGGGGTGGTCACTGACCTCGAGCCAGACATCCTGGAATGTGAAGTCAAATGGGCCTTAGGAAGTCTGAGCAACAACAAAGCTAGTGGAGGTGACAACATTCCAGCTGCGCTATTCAAAATCTTTAAAGACGGTGCAGTAAAAGTGCTACACTCAATATGCCAGTAAATTTGGAAAATTCAACAGTGGCCACAGGATTGGAAAAGGTCAGTTTACATTCCGATCCCAAAGAAGAGCAATGCCAAGGAATGCTCAAACTACCGTACCATTGCACTCATTTCACATGCCAGCAAAGTTATGCTCAAAATCCTACAAGCTAGACTCCAGCAGTATGTAGACCAAGAACTACCAGAAGTACAGGCAGGGTTTCAAAGAGGGAGAGGAACTAGAGGTCAAATTGCCAACATAAGCTGGATCATGGAGAAAGCTAGGGAGTGCCAGAAAAACATCTACTTCTGCTTCATTGACTATGCTAAAGCCTTTGATTGTGTGGATCACAACAAATTGTGGCAAGTTCTTAAAGAGATGGGAGTACCTGACCATCTTATTTGTCTCTTGAGAAACCTGTATGCGGGTCAAGAAGCAACAGTTAGAACTGGGCACGGAACCACTGATTGGTTCAAAATTGAGAAAGGAGTTCGGCAAGGCTGTATACTGTTGCCCTGCCTATTTAACTTATATGCAGAGCACATCATGAGAAAGGCAGGCCTAGATGAATCACCAGTTGGAATTAAGATTGCTGGGAGAAATATCAACAACCTCAGATATGCAGATGATACCACTCTCATGGCAGAAAGTGAGGAGGAACTAAAAGCCTCTTGATGTGGGTGAAGGAGGAGAGCGCAAAAGTTGGCTTGAAACTCAACATTAAGAAAACTAAGATCATGGCACCCAGTCCTCTCACTTCCTGGCAAATAGATGGGGAAGAAATGGAGGTAGTGACAGATTTTATTTTTCTGAGCTCCAAGATCACTGCAGATGGGGACTGCAGCCAAGAAATTAAAAGATGCTTGCTCCTGGGGAGGAAAGCTATGGCGAATCTAGGCAGCATACTAAAAAGCAGAGACATCGCCCTGCCAAAAAAAGTGCGTATAGTCAAGGCTATGGTTTTCCCAGTTGCAATGTATGGCTGTGAAAGCTGGACCATAAGGAAGGCTGAGCGCCAAAGGATTGAGGCCTTTGAATTGTGGTGCTGGAGGAGACTCCTGCGAGTCCCTTGGACCGCAAGGTGATCAAACTGGTCAGTCCTAGAGGAGATCAACCCTGACTTCTCTTTAGAAGGCCAGATCCTGAAGATGAAACTCAAATACTTTGGCCACCTAATGAGAAGGAAGGACTCCCTGGAGAAGAGCCTAATGCTGGGAACAATAGATGGCAAAAGGAGAAGGGGACAGCAGAGAATGAGGTGGCTAGATGGAGTCACTGAAGCAGTTGGTGTGAGCTTAGGTGGACTCCGGGGGATGGTGGAGGACAGGAAGGCCTGGAGGAATGTTGTCCATGGGGTCATGATGGGTCGGACACGACTTCGCGACTAACAACAAAATGTGCTTTTAAAAGGCAACTTGGCTTAGTGATTGAGTGCTATCTGTTAATTTTCCTAACTGCCTAAAGTTAAGCTAACCCTCTTTTTTTTCCTCTTAGGTAACTTTGACTGTGGAAACTCAGCAAATCTAGAAAGTAAATGCATTCCAGTTAGTGAAGCAAAAGATTATATCAAGGTAAGCAAACTAAACAGAAATTAAGTTAATTTCTGTTCTATTGCTTAAAAAAAACACTCTATTTGTTTTTATCCTTCAGCCTCTCTCTTTGCTTTTTCCAGCTGTTACTTTTTTCAATGAGAAAAAAATGCAGTTTTTTTCCCTTGAGAATTCTAAATAATCTGACTGCTTAGTCTTGCAGTTTTTTTTTTCCGTTTGGGAAACCAAAAGTTTCCTGCACTTTAGAAATGCTAAAACAATTTCTTTTATTCTTGGATTTCTTTATTCTTGCTCAGAAAGCAATATAAAGTACATTGCTTTCCTTTCTACACTTTTAAAGGAAATAAATGTTAAAAGTGTGCTTTATTTGCACAGCACTATGTTCTTTTCTGGTGTGTGCTCCTATATCCTATGTGATGATATAGTGAAAGCCAATGAGTTACAAATCTTTTCAGTTGTAGTTACATTACTAGTTACATTACACTAGTTACATTAATTTAAATACATAGTTTCCGGACTGGTTCTACAGTAGGTAAAAGAGCACGAATTGAAGCTAAGCAGACTTGTTTACCAAATGAGCACTCTCTTTATATTCCTTGAATTTGCTAGGAAGAAAGAGGTAGAATATTGATGTAACAAATTAAACAAGAAGAAAGGAATGGTTCTGCAGAAAATTTCACTGATAGATGAATGAGAAACTTATGTTTGGCCATGCTTCCCTACAGAATGTGACTGGCTACTCTGGGGAAAAGTTTGTGGATGCCTTGCAATGGTTAATGGATAACCACAGAGACTCAGGAATATGGTAAGTGAATGTGAGCAGTTGAACATATCCCCACATATGTTAGCTGTCCCTTATCCAGCAGAGACATTTAATCAGAGTTCAGTGCAAGAGGTGATGCCTGTCTAGAAAACAAGCAGGTGAAGGCTGACTGAGTGGAGAGCTCAGCCTTCTGGAATCAGCTAACCACATTTTATTTAGATTAGGGTTGGGATTACCTTTGAGCCATTCTGCACAACTTAACACCCATGATGTAAAGCACATTCTGCTGTTGGATTCATAGTCCACCAGTTCTTCCTGCCTGCCTATATTTGCAAAAGAACGTAAGTTGTTGAGCACCTTGCTGGTCACAATTCCTTGCTGGTGGCTGTGTAGCTTGGAAATTCATAAGCTGAGCTGACCTTCCCTACGACTACATGTTTTGCACCTGTGAGTTAGGGTAGTGCCTATTATGTCTACTGCCCAATCTAAATTTAGATGCAAAGTCAGGAATGAGGAACTTCCAGCCTGTGGAGATTCTTTCCTAGGCCTGCCAGTGTTCAAGAAAGGCAGTCTTTCTCTAGCGGTGAGTGAGGAAACTTGCACTTACTTCTGATCACTGATTTGAGACATGACTGCAGGTTCCCAGTGCTAGAGAAAGGAGACAGGGACCAATGTGATGTCAGAATGGGATTTTAGGAGGGAATGGGCCAGAAGATAATTTGCATTAGACACAAGGTAGGCTGCATTAGACACAAGGAAGGGAAATCTTTTTGCATGTCAGAACTTGGAAGCTTGGGACTGTAGGAAACTTCATATATCTGCTTCCAGTGGGGCCGCACAGGCTGGCACTGCTCCCCTGCTGCAGATGCATACTGCCTACCATCTGTGTGTTTGCCGATATGGAGAAGGACTGCATGCGCACACTGATGTACATGCAGAGAGCAGTTTCACATAAGTTGATGGGAGTTGCTGGGCCAAATAGAGACCTTTCTTATACTTGTCAAATATGCATGGGTAGCATTTGCTCTGCACTGGGGATGTAGCTTTCTCTGCATTCTTTCAACAGGTACAGGTTGTGTGAACTTTACTTCTCTCTGCTAATATCTTTGTGGCTTGAAATACTGGCAGTTCAGACCACAATAGTCTCTCCATTTTTGGCAAGAGGATATTATGCCTTTTCTAATGTGTCAGAATAGTATAAATGACAAGATGCTTGCTGAGCTGAGTTGCTTCTGGCTTAACCATGAGGAGCATTCCAGCTTTTTCATCAGCGCTCTCATAGTTGAAGTTTGTTTGTACAGTGATGACTGCAGACTGAATCTGGAGACCAAACATCATCCTGTGCAAATAACTCTGAGGTTTTGCTCTTTGAAAACTCTTTGAAAAATTGTGAAGTCTCTCTGAGTGCCTATTATATATTTATAAGGACTTCCTTGCCTGCTTGTCCTGATATTATAGATTACACTCTTGAACTGTGAGGAAGATATCAAGAGCCACTCACCACAATCAGAAAGCCCGTATAAATATTAGATTTTCAAATTCTCAAATAAGAATATGCTTTTTGAAAGCACAGTTATTTTGGTGAGCCGGATAGCATGGATAAAAGCAATTTGCAATGTGCTCCCTTGCAGTTACTTTTGATGGTCAAGCCAGTGTTCGAAGGTTATTTTGTATTCTTTTGTCTTTGGTGGTTCTCTGTGATTAAAATTATTTATTTGGGGCTGTATGTTTGAAGTCATGTGTACAATAGTCACTGCTGAAGTTTCCATAGACCTCAGAGAACTTACTGTTTTACATTAAGCTTGTAGTCCTGGCTAATTCATAGTTGCTGTAGACTTGGAAATAATGTATAGGGACGTTTTCATAACACATTTTAAACGTATTTCACTATCATGGTTAACCAATCTTAAGCAATAATTTTGGAAATTACTTTGTTTTGGTTTTCTAAGCCCTTCCACTTAAAAAACTATATTTCCCAGAATTCACAGGGGAAACTATTGTACCTAAAATGGGAGCAAACCTATTTGTAATGCAGCTGTGTCCTAGGTCATCAATTACAACCTTTCAGAAAGGCAGAATCCCTCCTGTTCAGTTCTTACCCTATTTACTTTTATGGCCTTTTTGATATCAATAGAATTTATATGCAAATTACATTTATGCAGAATTTCAGGATAGCAGATTCTAGCCATTCTGTTGTAGTTGTGGTTAGGTATTTTGCTAGGGAAGCTAAAGGTACTGTCTTGCCATGTTTTAGCATAAATCAGTACATGTCAGTGCCTCAGTTCTGTAGTACTTATCAGATTTCAGAAATAAAGTCTCTGCAATATTAACTCTATAACTGCTGTTGAATTGCTTGGCTAGCCTGAGGCTGTGAACAATATCAGAATACCCCTTCTTCCCCATAAACTCATTATCTAAAACACTTCTGCAACTTAATGTTTGAAAATGCACTTTATTGCTCCATGCTTTGTATGTGAAGACTCCACAGAGCTAAACATTCTTTCCTTAGGGACATGCTTCGAATTGCTGCTGGGATGAAATTCAGTGCTTTCTAATTAAGAGTTTCTTCACTGTTACAAGTCATAGCCTGGAAGCACAAAATACACTCCCCACTTTTGTATTCACCATAATTAAGAGTTTCATCAACACTTGAGCAAATTGATCCTGTTCTGGCAGCTCGATATGAAACTCAGTAAGAATGTACACTGCACTAAAAAGCTGCTGCAGGCTTTTCACCTAATGTTGTGTGAACTTATTTGACACAGTTCTGTTAAGAGCAGATCCAAATGAGACCTGCTGTATATTTTAAGATCTTTCAGAAACTTGCACTACAAATAATTCAAGAAAATGGGTTAAAAAGTCGGGGGCAGGGTAACACAGCAGGACTTTATTTCCACTCAAGCATGATTTCTCGGACAGAAGGTTTGGACTTTCTGTGTATAAGCTATCAATTGCTATGCTGGTGTCATTTCTGTAATGCAAGCATCTCGAGTCATGCTTGTTTAAAATAGCTAACAACTGGGACTAGCACAGCATTTTCCCCAGATTTCTTCTAGTGAGACTCTCTGAATAAAGGCTAGAGACTCCCAGTGCAAGTAAACTTTTAAAAATAGAAATTTTATATTGCTTGCCTTGCGGGAATTCATTTCATTTTTCAGTATGGAGTTTCTCCTTTTGTTTTATTTCACAGTAAAGTTTAGATGTATTGAGTTTTTCTGTCCTTTAATTCAGGTGTGCTAATTTTTTTTCCTAGCTGAATGGACTGTTATAATTTGCTACAAGGAAAATTGACACACAGATACCTTCGCCTACTCTCCATAGAGGCACGGGAGGGGGTAATTCAATTTAAAATTTTAATCACCTACACACTGAGAGATGCTTTCAAATAAAAAGAAAGAACCCTCTAGAGGACAACTTTGCTTTGTCAAGGGGCAATTCTACCTGCTGCATTCAAAGTCCTTTCCATCTATTGGTAAGGAGCCAAATGCTGATACATTCCATGAAGGCTTGCAGCAAGATCACAAGTCCTTTCTAAAGCATGTGATGAACAAGTGAACAGCTTTAATATGTGTATAATCCTGATACATGTGAATCATTAGATTCTTTGCATTATTTCATTAAGGGTTTTTCTGTTCTCTTCTATCAGGTTACAAGGCCATGAGCCTTCGGAACCAGTTACTGATGTGAACCAGGTGACTTGTCTTGAATCTACCCGCCCACGACTGGGGTTAGGATGCCGTTTCAAGCGGGCACTAAGCACAGCTGTTACAAACCTATTTATATTCTTTTGGAGTAAGTTTGTTTGTCAGTGAAGATCCATAAACTTGCACAGTATGAGATTCTAGAAGGTTAAGGGTATTATGGAAGAAGTGAAATTTGTGATATTCAAACTTTTCACCTAACAGCAGGAAGCAGAGTGAAGATTGGCTCCAGCATTGTGAAAACTTGCCATTTCTCCAAGTCATCAACTCAGTTCTCGTGTGTATGCACCACAGTTTCACTTGCTGCAACTTCAGCTGCGCTGGCATTTAGCCCAGTAGATTCTAGCCTTCACCTTACAAGCCACTGTTCATATACCCTATTTTATCTCTTAATAGTGCAGGATTCACCATACTCATGCATTGCCATGTCATCTTGAGGCTTTAAACAAAAGTGCAGCTCTGATGAGCACGCAATATAATGGAAATTTACTGGAGAGGATGTGTTTGTGGATGAACAGGGGTTTCCAATTGTTTCTGGACCCACGGACATTTTTGGGAATTAGAGCAACTGCTGGGAATACCATTACAAAGTGTCTCTCGGAGGATTTGACAGGCTCTGTGAGTTAGAGAGATGTAGAAGGAGAAAAAATAGTGAGGCAAGTGATTGGGAGGGAGAGTGAGGAAAATAGTAAGGCAAAGAAGGAGAGAGAGAAAGTCAACACCCTATTGGAGAGGGACAAGGAACAAATGCAGGAGAGAAATAGACTGGGAGGAAGGGGAAAAGAGCAAGTCTAGAAGCTAGAAAGGAAATAAGGCAGCTAGGGTCAAGGAATGGACAGAAATAGCAAGGAAGATGTTAGGTAGAAAGAGGTAGTGAAACTAGAGCCTGGACTTGTGGGGAAAGAGAGAGCAAAAAGGAAAGGTCACTTTGGGTGAAAGATTGGTCAGAAGCAGAAGCAATTCTCTGCCTGCTAATCAACAGCTGACCTGCAGCAGGTTAAAGTATAGGGAAGAATACCTGGTGCCCTAGCATGTTTCAAGGTGTTTTTAAATACTGGGGGGGGGGGTGTTTGTTTTTTTAAAGGGGGCAAGGACTAGAGACTGTGTGGGCACTTTTAGAGGTCCTTGCAGCCACCATATTGGGAACCCGTGATGTAAATGAGAGCAAGAGTTAGAAGATATTACCATCACCCAGCCTTTGGGTTACCAGCATGCTTTGTTGGATATAGTCTTGGAGCTAGTCTTCAGACCTGGGAGGCCTAGAGTTCAGATTCTCACTCAGCCACAAAGTTTGGTGACTTGGTGCCAGACACCAGAACATCAGGTGTGCTGCTCTGAGCTTTCTTATTGAAAGAAAGGAATGATGTGGTAACTTGCCAAGTGAATCCAAAGTATTTTACATGCTCATGGTACATCCCAAAGACTTAGGACATGCAGTACTGGTGTGAGTGAGTGACATGTGGGAAAATATTAAAATACAATCTCTACTTCCAAAGCTAGTCTGATTTTTTTCAATGATTATAAATAGCAGTCAGGCTTTATTGAGTGTCCAAGAGAAGAAAATTATGTAGTTGTGTGGTAGCCACCAAGAAATACCTTTCTACATTTATACAACTAGCTAAGCAATGTGGAGGGTGTCCCTGGTTGATTGATCAATCTTAAGGATTACATTGAAACATAGGTCCTGGCTGCACATCCCTTCTCAGGGCTTTTTGTGCAAGACAATTCATTTGTATTTGCAAGATCTCATCTTTGTTTTTGTTCTTACAGGTTTAGTTTTCCTTTGGGGAATTCTGATTCTCCTGAAGTATTACTGGCGGAAAAGGGAAGAAGAGGAGCGGACCATGTATGAAATGGTGCAGAAAATCATAGGTAGCTTATCAGCAGATCAAAATGTAACTCAAGTGGTTTCAATTTTAAGAGTTTGCATGCTTTCCTGACTGCTTGCATTGTTCTCTCAATAGCTGCTGTCCAGGGTCACTACAAAGAGTGGGAGCAGAATCTGGAACGGTACCCATATGTAGGCATCCTTCACATCCGAGACACACTCATCCCACCACAGGATAGGTGAGCCTTTGCTTTCTTTAAAACCATTAGTAAACTCTTAATGTAGATTTGAAGGCTGGTCTCCCAACTTTTCCTGGGCAGCAGAATAAGGAAGCAGGCATGTCCTGGCATTTGTCACCATTCTCTGGTATGCATAAGAACTATTTTCTTTGTCACAAGTAGCTGAGAACCACTGACAAGATCTACCCTTCCTTCAATGAATGTGCTTAATTTGTCTAAAAGCCACATACACTTGTGGGTTTTATGCACCTTGTGAAAACAAATTCCATAAACTGATTTTTTATGGAATAAAACTGTAACTTCCATAAACTGATTTTTGCTTACATGAGAAAACATCATTCAGCTTGTCTTGAACTTAATGCAAATAAAGCGTTGATTGTTTCTGCATAAGTTTCTTTGGGAAAGTTGGACAATGTAGAATTGATGCTAGGATCCCAGTGCTCTAATCACTAGACCATCATTTGGACTCTCATTTTTCATCAGAGTTCTCATAATGCATTTCCACATGTGGTAAATATACAAGATGCTCTTATGTGCCATTGCTTTTCTTGGATTCAGAATATAAAGCAGAATGCTGTACAGGGGCATTCATTATATACTTGGGCATCTATAAAATCAGGCTTGCTTTGCTCCTCTGCTTGCCACTGACTTACTGCTCCTGAGCTTCCTTTTACTGCATGGGATGACTAACATGTGCCCTGTAGGCTCTAACCCAGGAGCTGGCACACTTTGGGCTTGTAGGGTTTGTTTTTCAGTAGTACAACAGGATTCACCAAGTGAGGCCTCATGCAAAAAGGCATGTATGTAGAATTAAAGGGCAGAGTTCTGAAGCAGAACTAAGCAGAGCTCTCACAGTACTTTGAAACAAAAATCCACTCCTGGTTACTCTGTAATGCTTTGTTTCATTAGAGTTTGGGGTGAGGGGGGCAGGAAGGAGTAATTTTGATCCTTCTGTCATTAAATAATTACAAGTGGGTAATCATTGCTGATCTACTATCAGTCACCGAAGATCTGACAATATGTCCAGATTGATCTTCTGCCCACCCTGCCCTTACCTTCCCTGTACTTTTATTTTGCCTTGGAGGTTGAGTGTCACATGGGCAGTTCTGAATGTATAAATGTTTGGCATAGCTGACCATGTTCCCTTTACTCCCCAGGAAAAAAATGAAGCGGGTTTGGGACCGAGCGGTGGATTTCCTCGCTTCCAATGAATCGCGGATTCAGACAGAATCACACAGGGTAGCAGGAGAGGACATGCTGGTGTGGCGTTGGACACAGCCTACGTACCTCTCTGATTCAGACCATTAGCCTTAAGCCAAGGCCAAACCAATGTTTCAACACTGTGCAGGACGATGCACCTCCTCTTGGCTAAGAAAGGTCCTGTCATCCGTACTCAGGTGTACCTCTAAATGCTACCATCCATGTTTTTAGAAGAAATAGAAGGACTCTTCAGAGTACTTGTTTTTCTGTAAAGAATTAAAATTGATATGAACATACAAATCAGACCTACCTTTCTGGCATATATTTGGCTTCCATAATGTAACCATTTAAAAAGAGAATTGCTTGCCTGTTTGAAAGAGGCAGTTGATAGTTTTGCTGTGATGTTGTGGAAGACTCTGACCTTCCATCCACAACATTAGTACTAAACCACTAAAGGATACTTGTCAAGAGGAAGACTTTTCATTACAGAAATGCCCTGGATAGGAATAGATAACAGATGTGTGTGGTATATTTGCCTTTACCAACAGAGCAGAAATCCCCTGTGCTTATACAGGACTGGCATCTGCCTCCAGGTTGACAGCTAGGGGCTGATGGAGCAAGTTCATGTGACTTCAGAGACAAGCTGGGGAAGTAGGAGGAGCTTCTGACAGATTGCAGTCTTTGTGCTTTTTTCCTTAGGCAGTGATAGGATAACATCAGCTCGGAAAACAGAACTGAGCATATACTTGTGAGAACAGTACAAAGCATACCCTTAGAAGACACTTGTGTGTTTAAAAATGGCTTGATGGAAAACAGCAGCCATATTCTGTCATTCGCAGTACTAGAGAGAAATTACGGTGCCTAGTGTTTGATATAAAATGGTCTTAGCTATCAAGTATGTGAGCAATACTGCAATGAGTGGCGAGCTGTTCTTCAGCAATATATTAACATGTTTTGTGTGTATACCATATTGGTTTTCCCACATTCATATTTATGTCCATTCATTTTGGGGTGGGGGGAAGTAGCAAGGTGTCACATAATACAATGCTGTGCTCCTCTGCTGTAGCATCTTTGGGCACTCGCATGATGACACCCTTCTCCCTCACTGGCTCTAGATGTGTCCCTGTGTGAACATAGTGAACATAACCCCTGTCCAATAGCTGTAACTAGAGTACATATGAATTCATAATATATGCATTTATGAACCTCTTGAGGCAAATCTGACTGAGATGTGATGCTAACTTGCATCAAACACTTTCTCTGAACTAGCAATTTATTTACAGTGATGGTGGTGGTGGTGGTGGTGGTGATCTAAACTTAAAATTTGCTCTTCTACTCCCCCTGCTGGCTATATGGAAAAATTAAAGGATTGGCATTTTCACCTAACTGTCTTTCCAGGCTGTCTCAGCAGCACGCAGCAATTCATTATATGCCTCCTGCTGGTTCATCAGCTGAAATTGGTGCAAAGAAAAGCAGCCTCCAAAAACAAAACACCAGGAGGTCTTCGTGGTTAAGTAGAAGAAAATCCTGCATTCAGTTGAATTTTATCCCCACATGTTGCCATCTGTAGCGTAGGCAGTATATTAGAGGGAAAGAAGAAATTTAACAGATGTCTCCCTGACATTAGCCATCTTTGAGCACACGTGTGTGTGTGTGTGCACTTGTGCGTCTGTGTGTGCATGCACACAGGCACACCCCCCTTTTTTATATGGTTACAGAAGATGATCAAATGAGGGTAACCCCTTTTATTATGTTCTTAAGTTCTGCTGATAGCAAAAATGTCCACAGTGCCTACATTCTTGTGGCTTAAAAAACATTTGTGGGTATTTTTAACATCTAATTCTCAAAGTGAAATGCCTAACAATATTTTGTATAGTTGATTAAGCCGTTCATTTATTTTTATGTAGATTGGCAGGTGCTATTTATTATACACTTCATCTCTGTACATTTTATCTTGGCAAAATTAAAATTTGTTATAAATAGGACTGGTTGGTATTAGTCATTGGTCCACTCCCTTACAAGGACAAACCCAGCTAGCTAAATCCCCGGATATTTAATGCTGGAACATTGCTGAATGTCAAATGATTATATTGAATTACAGTATATCAAGAGAGCACTAGTCATGCGCAACTGTACTTATAAAAACTAAGACCCTAGGAATAATAGGCTAAAACCTAGCTTTTAAAAACAACTTGAAATCATCAACACTTCCTATTTCTGAATACCAGCAGCTTACTAAAGTGGGAGAAAAATGATAGGGGGGTTTTCCAGGTAGTTGAAGGTGGTTTGGAAGAGAGAGACCTGCTCATAATGTGTATTATCATCCCATTGGTAAAAAGGTTTAAGTATTAAATCTATTTGACAAGAGGTGATAGTATGATAATAAAAGATACCTCTTAATACCTCTTTCATATCTCTCAAAACCCAAAACTATTGTCCGTTTCAAGCTTACTGGACCTGCTTTTCAGGAAGTACTGAGCTTCATTCATTTCTGAAAAAGTTGGTGCCATTTTGGGAGTATCTTAAGTGGAACTCTTGCAGAATGAAAATACAGGCAAAGAACTAAGCCCTGCGAGATGGTGACTCATCCAAAGCTGCTTTATGATTAAACTAAGGATTTGATCACAAGTCTTAATGATAACCCTCTGCAATTGCAGAGGGGAGGATATGGCATCAAGAAAACGCCATGTAAGCCTCTAGCAAGGGCTCCAAAAAGAATACAGCATTGATGCTTTATTCTAGGAAGTCAGTCAATGAATGCAGCGAGCACAACGTTGTTACCCTTCCTAATGAGAGATAGCGATATCACTATTGCTGCTTAAAGCAACATCCTTGACCTGTGTTGCAAGCAACAGACATGGCAGTACTGAGGTACAGCACTCTTCCCTTCCTCTGCTGTATCTTCTTTCCATAGCTTTTTCTTAAAATTCCAAAACCACTATAGAGATGCAAATTTATGTTGAGCATGTATGTTGTGTTCTGCATCAGAGGCAAACATTACAACACCTTGGTACATGTATTAACCTGCACATTCAACTGCACCTTTTAGTAAGAGTGGCCTTGACAAGGAAGTTCACACTTTAACTACTTTGTTTCTTTCCTTCTGACAGGAAGACTGTATATAAATGAATGTTAAAAATCTGGGTTGATAATGCCACCATGTCCTCTTACTGTCAAAAAGAGAAAAAATGTGCAAGCTAGGGATCTAAAATAACATTTGCCATTTATCTTTTTATTTTCTATTTCCATTAAAGGCGTTTCATATTAAATGTTTTGTCTCCCACTGACATGACAGCTGATGCTGTGCTATATTTATGGGAAGCCTGATTTGGGAGCAGTGCCAGTTCTACTGGGAAAATCACAGAGTAAACAATAAAAAGGAACAGGCGGTGAAATGTCCCCAAAGCAGCCCCCTTCTCAAGGATCTAGCCTGTCAGTGTCCAACACTTCGGCCAAATTAGACAATATCTAAAATGCCTTTCATATGTTTGGGGTAATTAAATTACACATTAGAAAACATCAGGAACATGACATCCTAGTCAAGCCCATTTGCCATGGTCCCAAGGAAAATTACCCATTCCCCAAAGCAGCTGTTCACCCCTGAGGGTAGTTGCTGCTTCCACAGTAGCTGCTAAAAAAGCATCAGATCTAAAATGTAAGCACAGGATTTGCTCCTCAGTGTAAGCAGCGCATCGTTGTATCTTTGCTTGTGCTTTAATTCATTTGTTACTGTTTTAATTTGAGTTTTATTTGTGATTGTAAGCTTGAGTTTTCTTGGGAGAAAGATAGGCTACACATCAGATAAACAATCATTACCTTTCAGACCATCTGTCTGTTGTGCAAGGAGCACATTCATTGCCCTGCACGAGATCTAGATGTTTTTCCAGTGGCATCCCATTTGGGGGATGTATCTCATTCTCCCAGCATTATTTTGTTCCGCACATGCAATTATTTCCTTGGTGAAAATATCCATTGCTGTTGCAAAGGCTGATGTGTGCTAGAGTGATGGACAGCATTTGAATAGTGTCTGTGATGCCACTATGTTCAATGCCTGATTGACTTTTGAGAGTTTTTAATTAGGTTTTTACAAAGGAACCGTTTGAGGATGAAAGTGGGAGGGGAATTGGTACAAAAGCATTTCTCCATTGCCCCTTGTAGAAAGCAGTAAAGCTGCTCCCATCTTTCCCCTTCCCTTAATGTCCCAGGGATTAGTATGTAAAGTTAGAAGAGCTTCATTTTAAATTATTGGGGTAATGGAAAAGCATTATTTAATCCGCTATGCTGGCCCACACTGGCTTTTGCTGGTCTATGACCATAATAAATAAACTTGGAAGAGCCAGGTTTTTACATCCATACACCACCAAAAGAGAAAACTGCAAACAGCAGCAAGACAACCTTTCCTAGCATGCTCCTCATTGTACAAGGGACCAGATAGGTAGGGACTAGCACAACGGACATAATAAAATACATAAGCAACATGGAAAACCTCTCTTAGAAACTGTTTATAGGGTACTTGGCCCCGGTGAATTTATGGACACTGCATTGCTAACCTGTATGGTAGCTGAGTCTATTTTAAAAGAGTCAGATTATAAGGAGTTCCCTTGTTCATCTGGCCATTTGCTTGTCCTTTTAAAATAGCATTTTGCTCCCAGCATGCCATAGGTAGGGGAAATGTTCAACCCCTTCACAGATCCTTTTCCTAAGCTATCTTAATCAATTGCATAGGATGTGCATAGTAATGTATATAGTTGGGCAAAGCAACCTCATATATGTTTGCATTACAGATCAGTTACAGGGGACACCTAAGCGTGCAGATTTTAACTGATAGACATAACAGTTCTACTGGGGTTAATTTCCCCACATGACCATTATCAAGCTGCACACCAACTCTAAGAAATAATGATGCAAAAATTTCATATGTATTTCTTTATTTCTGTACTATCCCATAGCTAAAGTTCTCTGGGCAGTGAAAAACAGTTGAAAAACATGCAATAAAATTTGATATAGTGTAAAAGAATAAAACTTCATAAAATTTCATTAAAAACTTAAAACCACATTTTAACAACTAAAAAAAAGCACTTCATACTAATAGGTCTGCTAATAAAAAATCTGCCAATCTTCAACCCATGTGCAATTAGGAGTTGGTAGGTGCCTCAGCAAAGAGGACAATCTTAACCTGGTACCAAAAAAAAAGTTGGTGTCACGTGGGGCTTCCTGGGGAGATCATTCCATGTTCTGGGGATGACCACAGAGAAGGCCCTCCTTTTTGCTACCTTTTGCCAAAGACTTCTGTGGAGGTGGCCTTCAGAAAAAGGCCTCATATGTTGAGCTTATTATCTAGCTACACTACAGTTGGAAGAGGCATTCAAGTATTGTGGTCCCAAGCCAAGTAAGACGCTATACGTTAAAACTACCTTGAATTGAACAGAAACATAAAGGCAGCGGTTTAGAACTGGAGTTACATGTTTGGGCCATGTATCCCTGGTTATTCGTCTGGCAGTCACATTTTATGCAAGGTGCAGGTGTTTGAACTATCTTCAAGGGCAATCACATGTAAGCATGTTGCCGTAATCTATTAGAAATTTAAGTGTAAATTGGGCTATTGTTGGGCTGTAACTGGGCCACTAGCCAAAGCTGATAGAAGGCACTCTGTGCCACTGAGGCCACCTCCAAGCTAAGAACTTGCTCCTTCATCCAGCACATGCTGAGCACTCTTCATTTGGTCAGAGGAACCAACAACATCTCAGTCTTGCCCAGACTGAGCTACAGATCGTTAGCCCTCAACTAGTCCATTGTTGCAGCTAGGCACCGTTTTGGCACATCAGGAACTTCAGCTGCTGAAGATGAAAAGAAGAATTAGAGCTGTGGGACATCAGCTTACTGATGACGACATATTCCAATCTTTCAGAAGACTCTACTTAGCAGTTTCATGTTGAAGTTAAATAGCATAGGGGGCAAGACTATCTCCTGAGGAGCCCCATCTTGGAGAGTCCACCAGCTCAGCAATATCCCACAAGCCCAACCTTCTGGAACAAACGCTCTAAGTAGCAACAGAAATACTGCAATGCAGTGCCCCCCACTTCCAACTCAAAAAATCACTCCAGAAGGACACCATGGTTGGTGTTCTCAAAAGCCACTGAGACACCCAGGAATATCAGCAGGGTAACACTTCCCCTGTCTCTTCTGTGCCAAAACCTGACATGAAACTTGACTGAAATGGTCCAAATAATCAATCCCATTGAAGAGTACCTAGATCTGGTTGGCCACATTCTGCTTGATGACTTTTCCCAGGAAAGGATCATTCACCAATGACCTAAAGTTATTTAGTTCTAGGTTCAGAAAGGATTTCTTTAGGACCAATCTCTTTAAGGTAGCATAGGACCACTCTTCTCATAAAGAAGCATTGGTCACATCCCTGTCCCAGCTGGCTGTTCTGTTCCTGCTAGCCTTTATAAGCCAAGAGCGGCAAGATTCCAGTATGAATGTGGTTGCATAGAACTGTCCAAGTGCCTTGTCAACATTCTTAAGTTGAACCAACTGAAATACATCCAAGAAAATTAGACTAGGCTGTGCTCTGGTAACCTCAATAAATTCAACTGCTGCAAAATTGAAGTCTACGTCCCAATGGATCAAGAGATTTTATTCTGGAAGTGCTTAGCCAATATATTACAGCAGGCCTCAAATAGGTTTAAGATGTCCTTAGGGCCAGCATATAAAAAGCCTTCAATATGACCCTAAAGAGTTCTGCGGGGCAGCAAATATAAGGTTGGATGGAAGCAGGGAGATGTTCTTCCTTCACTGCCTCCAAATATATCTGATTATAGACATTTCTAGGGCTCAACTACAGCTAGTAGTTGATGGCACACAAGCCATCTTCTGTATCTTTTCATTGCTATCAGCTCCAAGGTATACCATGGAGCCATATGAGCTCTGCCTCAGAGTGGGCTCTCCAGAATGATCCTGTCAGTCACCTGGGTCATTGCTT